CACACGTTTCGGGGCCCTATAAAGAGCTCCACCTAAAGTCCCACTGGCGCAGCTCGCATGGCGCCGCCGCCCCATTTTGGCACACCCCTTACACGTTTGGTGGCTCGTGGCGCAGCTCGCACGGCGCCGCTGCCCCACCTTGGCACACCCCTCACACGTTTCGCGGGTCGCCGGGACCCCTCTGGGGCGACCAACGCGCGTCGCGGGCACTCCGTGCGGCGCCGCGTCCGCAGCCTTGGACATGGGCGCGCACGGGCAAAGAGGGAGAAAAATAACGGGAAGGAAAACGGGCGCGATCCTCGTGAGGAGCGTGCCGGCATGGGCGTCGCGGCGTGCGGGCGCTGCTGTCGGGGTTCCAGGGGAAGCTTCCTGCGGCGGCCACGCTCAGTGTCACGAGTACTCAGGGTCAGGCATACGTGAACCATTCACATTTATTTATTTATTTATACACCAGGCGTGACCATGGTCGCACTCATGTGAATATACTCACTCGCACGCAGACTTATTCACACTCAGACTCACTCGCGCTCAGACTCACCCGCGTTCAGTCTCTCGTAATTCGACCTATCGTCTTCGTTCGTGTTGTGTACCACGGCATGCAACTCGGCGCACCCCTCATACGGTTCGTGGCCCCATCTGGGGAACGCCACCGAAGAAGATATTCACAATTGCGGTACTCACAGCTGCATATGGTTGGGTCCTTCGCCAGGCTAATTTTTCAAATGGAGCGTTCGGATTGTCGGCTGCACACGTTCGCCTCAAGAGTTTGCGACGGCTGCCAGGCGGGCTCCTTCTCAAGATGGGGCGCTTCAGCGCCTCGCTGATGCGTTGTAAGCATCTCAAGCAGCCTCACGGATGGACGCCGGTACTTGTTTTTGTGTTTGCAATGCGGCTCTCGCCCGAGATCTCATCGAAACTGAGCTGCCACGATACGCACCACGCAACACGTAGCGTGTTGACACGGGGCGCAACAAGTAGACTGAAAACGTACGTTTGGCGCGACAGGTTCGCCAAAACGTGGGTCGACTCGTGCCGAACCAATACGCAGCGTGTCTGCGCGCACGGTTTGAACATAGCACGTGCTGCGTTTCAGCGCGGGCGCATCAGGCAACAACGCATCGAAAATACCATCGCCCTTTACAGCGCCGTGAAACAATACACATGTGGGGACCTCGTCCGATCGTCTTCTCAGTTGAACGGCCAAGAGCTAGAATTTGTGCGGTGTGAACTCTGGGCATCGCTCGGACGTTCGTTCCCTGTGTTTTTTTTAGGTTTCGTGCGTGGTTTTCGCGCCAAATGATCGAGGATGCTCCTCGATGGTCCTCGCCGAAGAAAAATATGCACACGTCCGAGCGATGCCGAGACTTGGTGCGGGGTCAACCTGTGCAGCGTCTGCACGGGGGCAACTGCTCGTCAAGACGGGCCCCTCGCCGGACGCGTCCTGCGATGCTCGGACCCTATCACTTCGGGGTCGTCCTTCACTCGCTATAAAGGTACAACTGGCCATCGCTCGGACGTCCCTTCCGTGTGTTGTTTTCGGTCTCGCGCGTGGTTTTTTTTCGCGAAATGATCGAGGATGCTCCCCGATGGCCCTCGCGGGAGGAAACATGCACACGTCCGAGCGATGCCAAGACAATGCTCTCTCTCTGTTCAAAAGGCGGCTCCTGCTTGGATTGCGGGCACATCGGGTGCTTGCGTTTCTCGTAGTGAACAGGATGGCTTGTAGGAACTTCGGCAGGTAGCCTTGGGACGGGAGGGTGTATTGCACAATTCGTGGTACGTCTTGGGCTGACTCTGGTCCTTATCCTCCTTCTCCGCTTCATCCAACAGCCGTTCCTCGCGGTTGAAGAAGCGCATCCGCAACGCCTCTAGTCTACGGGGACAAAGAAGGTAGCACAAACAAGTCGTAACTTCCAAACGATAGATTCCAGACTCATGCTTTTATAGCACGGGCTTCTCATCCAATGCCCTCACCGTGCGTATCGGCTCGTTGGTTGCAACCAGTTTGCCCGACAACTCCTTGAATAACAGGGCAGCTGACAGTGCGCAGTGTGAAGCTTATTCTCTGTATGACGTGGACAATGCTATACTCTTCTAGCTTGAAGATAACAAATTCTTATGGAATCCACACGTCGTCTTCCTCGAGACCTGGGCACCAAAGCTTGTATCGGTGCGTCGCTCTGGATTTCCTACAAAGCAGTCTCTGATGCGAGCGAACACGCAAGCGGCACCATGCTCAGAAATGTGATCGGATGCAGAAACAGCGGATACATCGCAGAACGCCCTGGGTCTCAAATCTAGGACGCTCGGGGCATGTAGCGCGGGACGCTGCTATCAAAGGAACTTCCAGCGTGCGAACATCCCTTCATCCGACGTTCGACGCTGGCCCCGAACTCCTGGTCCCGTCATTCAGGGCTTGCCTGATTGCCGTGCGTTGTGCTGTGGCAGAAAGACCTGGAGGGCCGAGAAACGCCCCCCCGAGAACCGAACCCGCAACAAAAATATGACGCCGTGATTTCTAGAAGCGCAAGACGAGATGAACATAAACTGTCGAAGGTCCGCGCGAATGTCTTGGATCGGTGCTGGCCCTCCTTCCCTGGCGCACGGAGCGCGCCAGGGGGCCGCGCCAGAGGCGCTGCCAAGGGGGTCGAACGCAGATCCAGGAAATCCACGCGAGCCTCTGAAAGAATATGTTTGTGGTTTGATATCTGATTCGAATTTCGCTCGCGACGCCTGGAGATGTGGGGGGATGGACTTGCAGTCTTCGAGTGGCCTCATACACCGCGCAGACGGAGGCGGCCGACCCGCTATGGCTATCCCGCTTCGCAGCGACAGGCGCGAAGACCGGAAATCCTAGGCGCGAAGTCCCGCGGGGCAGGCCTTCTCATTCTTGAGGGGGGCAAGCTGCCGCGGCCAGGAGAGCGACGAGAAGAAAGGAGTCGCACGCACGGTGACACAGCGCCCCTGCGCGGTGGCTCGCGTGGACCGCCAGCGTGGCACACCGCGTGGAAAGAAGGGCACTCCCGCGCGACCCTAGGCAGGAAACGTGCGGTCGGACCGAGATGTGAGCTCGAGGTCGGTTCGGGGAGGGTGCAATACTGTTCTTCGTGTATTGTTGGATGTTCTCTGCATCCTGGGGAAGGTGATCTTATGGCACGGGGTGGCGTTCTCGAAGGATGCTCTTCTGTCCCAGACCCGACCGCACGCGAGAGTGTGCGCACAGTCAACCCCGTTCTCTTCCGTCGCTCAAGCGGGGTAACGACGAAGACGATCAATGTTGAGTCAGGTCGGGTATGTCCTCCCTACAGGCGGATTCTGAAGGACAAATGGAATATAGTCAAACAGTGCTCAAACAATAATCAAAAAGAATAGGCAAATCGTCCCTAGACTATGTTTTGATTATTCTAAATATCCCTCCAGTAGAGGGACAGGTCCAACTTAACTCAAGCGGGGTAACGACGAAGACGAAGAAGGTGGGGGCATCTGGCGGCCTCTAGGGGCCTGCAGAGGGATCTCTGGAGGCATCCAAGCGGGGACCCCCGGAGGCGTCGAATGAACCTTTTGGGTGCGCCCTGGAGGCCTCGGCCCCCAGAGATCTCCAGAGAGGGGAGAACAGGAGGACGAGGAGATAAGACGAAGCCAGGACGAGGGTAACATCGGGCGAGGACAAATCGAGAATCTCTGAGATCCGGCGGCTCTGGAGGATGTCTCGGGTGCCGCGGTCTCCTCGGAGCGTTCCAGAACGCTCTGAGAGCATTGCGGAAGGCTCTGGAATGGATTTACCCTCGTCCTAGCCCCACCCGGGGAGAAGAGGGAGTGGAAGTGCCAGACACTCACCACTGTTAAAATTTGAAAAGCTTTACGTCCACAATGAGGTCTGGCTTCAATGGCAGATTCGGGTTGAAAAAGTCCGCGGGCCCCCTGGGAGCACCGTGCTGTCAAAATCCCTTGCTGCCTCCACAGAATTTGCTGTCGTCTCCCGTGCTCCCCAAATGTGTGCTTCAGCATGCAGGAGTTCTCACATGGTCATACGGGTTGCGTGTTCCGAGACCTCTGCCAGATTTGCTAACACACGGTGGTCACCGCGCATTCATATGCCTGGGGTCGACGTTCGGGTCAAATTGCTACGTGCATCACTTCCCGCCTTCTCGTCTTTCCAGCCTCCTGGCCGCTCCTAGGTCCTAGGTTGCGCCAGAATCTCCAGTGACGGCGCCAGACGGCCAAGAGGACACAAGAGGCCTTCAGGAGGAGCCCACGAGCGATCCCAAGCGGGCCTCAAGAGGGCAACGAAGAACCCGCCAAAGAACCCACCAGTGGGGCCCAGATACGACCCGAGAAAGCAAGGACGCGTGCAAAACCATCGGATCATTTCTGATCGACGTCATCGGATTGCGTCTAGATGGCCCCCGAGGCCCAAATGTAGCTTCAAGATGGCCAAATCTGCCCCTAAGCTTGTATTCCTTGAGAGGCCCAAGATGCACCACTAGCACCGCCCAAGGTGGACCCAAATGGACGGACCCGAGTCGACCCCGTGACGCCCCCACGAGGTCCCAACTGTACCCTCAGACGCACCTGGATGGCACACACATTGCCCAAGACAGTTCCACAAGTGGCCCCGCTACGCCCCACGATGCACCCGACAAGCTCCCAAGATTGCCCGCCAGAGCCCAGATGGAGCCCCGGGACGGTCTCAACCTATTTGAAGGGGAACTGGGACACACAAATAAATACACACAAATAAAACTATCCCCCTTATTTTCCTATATTTTCTGGGTTTTTGTCTTCCCTCCCACCTCCCATATTTTCCCATGTTTTGTGGGAATCGCTGATGAATTGTGTCTGTGTGTTTCTTTCCCTCCTGACTATTCCGCATGTGGCTCCGCCGGGGGAGCGTCGGCAGAGCGCGTGGCCCTTCGCATAGTTCTTGTAGAGCTGGTAGTTGACGAAGGTCGACGGGCTGGGCGTCTTGGACTGGTCGGTGTAGCTCAGGGCGCCGGGGATTACTGGTGGTCCCCAAACGTGGTGGTGATTGGGCGCCCGAGTTATCCGGGGTAACTCGGGTCCGGGGTAACTCGGGCTCGGATTCCCGAAAAACGAACCCGAGTTAGCCCTGACCCGAATTACCCCTGATGATATGGGGCTCTGGCCGCCCGAATTATCCGGGGTAACTCGGGTTCGGAACTCCGAAAAGCGAACCCGAGTTAGCCCTGACCCGAGTTACCCCTGATGATTCGGGGCTCTGAGGTGAGAACACCCGGTGGTGAGTTTTGGGCGATCTGGGTCATGTTTTTCGAGCGCTGGCTGGCCCAGGAAACGCAAGACCTCGTGACGACCGCGTGTCCCCAAACCCGGTGGTGACCCGGAATTATTTGTTGGGGGAATCGGGGTCACCACCGGGTGTTTCACCACCTGGTTTGGAGACCACCAAGATTACCAGCCGCCTCACTCCGCCGGCACGCATGGTGGACACGCCTTCCTGTAGGCCAGCGATGATCGAGGGGTCGTCCAGCTTGAACGTGAACGGCCCCTCGTGGTCCTTCGTCCTGTCGATGACAGAGAACCCGAATCGCCCAGCGGCCGCCGCCATCACGTAGTCGATCGTGACTTGGGCTCCCGCGGGCGGGGGGTCGCCCTGCCTGGAGGACAGCCAACAAGACACACTGTTTGAGCTTCCAGAGGTCCGCGCGGGAATCCTGGGTCGGCGCTGGAATTGGCACCCGCGCGGACATCCGAGAGTTCCTGCTCGTGCCAAGTTCTTGGTCCGCCGCTGCGCGACGGTGACGTCGGGCACTACGGGGGACCAGGGACGATGCGGACAGGGAGCAACACGGGGAGGATGAGGACGCTCCTCACTCTTCTGATGCTGGTCCTCATCCTCATACTAGGGACGAAGCCAGGACGAGGAAACAATCGGATCGGGATGGATCGGAGATCTCTCAGAGCCCACAGACTTGGAGGATGCATCGGGCGCAGTGGCCGTCTCAGAGCGTTCTGGAACGCTGTCGGAGCGTTCTGGAACGCTCTGGAGAGATTCGTCCTCGTCCTGGACATGCCTGCCATCCTCCCTGGCACCCGACGTCGTCTCTGTTCTCTGTTCACGGCGTGGATCCCCAGAGGTCTCGACGCCTTCCAAGGGACAGGTGTTTCATCCCGAGGCGTGGTTTGACGGTCCCGTGGCCAGGTTAGGGCCCCTGGGGACCAAGCGCAGTCCAAACGCTTCTGTCGCAACTGCTTCACGTCGCCAGGGGTCCTGGGCTTCCTCGTGCCGCCTCGCGTCCCGCTTTCGGGCCACGCCGACCGCCCGACGGTGGCGTCGGGCACTAGGGGGGGGCGGGAGGCATCTTGCTTTCTGATCCTCGAAAACATCTACGTGCTCTGGTGCTGGCCCTGCAGTTCGTGCCCGTGCCGTTCGCATCACGAGCCAAGTGCAAGCAGAGCGCGAAGCAGAAACAACGATGCCAATGCACCACTGCATATGCATTAGAGCGTTGTGCGCGCATCCCCCTTTAAGATCCGACCGACCATTCATACGTAGCACCCCGCAATTGCGGATAAGAGTGATGGGGGCGGGCGCGGGCGACGCGGGCGTCGAGCCGGCGGACCTCGTGGCCTTCACCTTCCCTGTCGATGGCGCCCTCCTCCTCCTCCTCCTCCTCCTCCTGCTCCTCCTCCTCCTCCTCTTCCTCGTGACTTGCGTGCTCTGACAAGTTCAGCGCGGGGGGGATCGCTGGCGGGCCTCACATTGATAACCTGGCGACAGACAACAGCAATCGAGGAGCCGCAGCACAGTACGTGACAACTGGTAAAAGGGGGGCATCTTGTACTACCACCACCAAGCGGTTGGGCACTTTGGCCCAGCGTGTCGCCACGGCGGCCTCGGCGAGGCGCCATGCCCTGCAAGTGGATAGCGTGCCGCGCCGAGGCGTGGTGTGCCAGAACCGGCGGAGCGGCACGCTATCCCAAGGTCCCCGACCGTAGCCCAGAGGGGGCTGACCTCTGGCAGTGATTTGCTGGGCGCGTTCGGCGACTCGCACAGCACAGCTCTACCATGGGTCAGCCGCACGTGGTCTGTAGCGGTGGTAATGAAACATCCCGCCAACCCTCTGGGCGTGAGTGCTTCAGACGGTTTCCTCCTCCATCTTCTCCTTCTTCCCCTTCGGTGAGCGGGCTACGCACTGTTGTTTATTAATGGCACCCCCCTCCCGCACCAGACCAGCGATAAACCCCAGACAATGCCAACAACCCCTGCCATCCCTGACAAACAAAACTGACAAGTGCACTTTGCATCAAGATCTGAATCATGCGCGGGCGCCCCGGCGAAGACCCTGGGCCTATCCAGGCGGCCTTGGGACGAAGGGCCGGGGCCTGCCCCGCCCAAGAAAAACTTGGGCCGGCCTGGGGGCGAAAATTCCAGGACAGTTCGCAGAGAGCTACGAGCGCTTCAGATTAAGCAGCTGGAGCCGCGTGGTAGCCCTGGAGCTCGTTCCGGCCACGGGCAGG